CAGCTAGTCATCACCACCCACAGCCAACTCTTGGGCTACTCCTTTACCAACGAATAGTGGGATTGACCGTCACATTATAACGCCCCCACGGCTGAAAGGGCGAGCATGTTTGGTGGTATGCGGATTCGAACCCGCGACCCTCAGATTGTGAGTCGAGCGCCTTATCCACCTGGCCATGCCGGGCTCCGCTGTACAAGTGTACAACATAAAAATTAAACTTATAATTAACCATCTAGAGCCAATCACGCTAACAGAGTGTAGGAAACTACTTAATTAGATTATCTATCATATTTATTTATGAATTTAATTTAGTGATTTATTCCTAGAAGTTTGTTAGTTACGGAGTTTATTTGGGCGGCGGCTACCCTGTCGTCATTCTATTTCTTTGCATCAGGTAGACCTTCATTGTCTTAGATCAGCCGTCGAGAACGTGGAATCTTCATTTTCAAATTATCCTGCCAATAAACTAGAGATGCGACAAAAGGAGAACTACCAGGGAGCCTTTTTTGGGCTTTTGTCTAACAAGGCTTCCTCTGTAGGGTAGCCCAATCTGTCAACCCCCGACTGTGGCTGTGATGGTCCACGAAGGACAAGTTCTAGTCCACTGACCACCCGGCTTGAGAACTGCGGGAAGCAAACATTTCGTCCATAGACGAATATGCTTTTGTGCAGTTATTGTTTCTTAATTAGCTTAGGGTTCGAACCTTACCACCATGTACTCGATGTGTCAGTGTCAGACAGGCAGTATCTAGTCTCTGCATATTGATATAGCCTTCTATATTTATCACATGTGACATATTTATTATATAACATATCCACGCAAATAGTCCTTCCTTCTTGATCTGCTTGTTTTGAAGATTAGGAAGTTGTCCGAATACCAGTTGACCTCTGCAAAGAGAACATACTGCTTTTACTCTGCTGTAATTTCAAGGCATAGCAATAATAAAATTCTTTTGAAACACGACGAATGAATGTAAAACAAGAATAGACATTTATAAGATTGTGTGATATTTAAAATGTAATATAAAAAGATATTAATTTTCACAAATATATATATATATATATAAAACCGTATAGATGATGAAGAATTTGTGAAATTATTGTAAATTAAAGTATTATATATCCATTATTTCACGTTATCTTTCAAATTGAAGCTTGTTTTCATTTGGAGGCTTATAACTCTAAAAACCGAGTTTCGATAACCGCGGTGGGCAGAGCACAGATAGCCCATTGTGTAACTCTGTGTTTAACAACAAACACATTTGGACCAAAATGGAAAAAAATTATTAGCATTTACATATATTAACAAAACTATTTCTTTCGTTTCTGGTTTAGTTTGTAGAATATAAATAATGTTTTAGATATAGCAATTTAAAACATTCTCTCTCTTCCTTTCTCTCTGTTTATATATTTACTGTAATTTAACAGATAAGGCCAGGCTAAGAAATAAGCCAAGTTATCATACCGAGTAACTGTGGTCTGTGTCATCAAATTTTCTGGAACATCATAATATACATGGAACGATTATATATCTCCCACACGCGGAGTCGTAGTGCGTGCAACAGCAAAACGTGCCTGCAAGGAGATCTGGGCTCCTGAAACGGAGGATTAATAGAGATGAGCCTGATAAGGACGTTGTCACCATGGAAATGCTGATAAGAGTATAGTTGGTAGATCAGCTTATAGAACCTGCCACAGCTTTATTAATTCTCTTCCTCAGGATGGCATAACGGCCTTTAGCTTTATCGATGTGGGCGCGCACTGTCAACACAGCTTCCCTTGGTGTGGTCTTCTACTTGAATAACTCTGTTCCGAAATGAGATCTTAACCAGTTACTTTAATTACGTTACATTCTACAAAATACAAGCAAAACAAGCTTCAAACTATGAGTCCTTGATGTGGGAGACAATTCCCCAGTGTATAACATTTGCTGACTTGTAATGAGCTGTGTCATCGGATTATAACATTTTTTGACTTTTAAGGATTTTGATCCTCCCATATACTTCCTCTATATATAATATTTTTGACTTGCAGTTAGTATTGGTCTTTTATATACCTTCCCTATATTTGTATATAACATTTGCTTACTGTTAAGGAGTCTCGTCCTCCGGTATATCTCTTTTATGTAAAGCATTTGTTGACTTTTAAGGAGTTCGGTCCTACGAACACCTCCACTATAAATATATATATATAACATTTTTTGTCTTGTAAGGAGTCTGATCCCCTGTTATACCTCTCCTATATATTACATTGTTTGTCCTATAAGGAGTCTGATCCCCCGATATACCTCTCCTATATATATAACATTTATTGTCCTATAAGGAGTTTGATCCCCCGATATACCTCTCCTATATATAACATTTGTTGTCCTATAAGGAATATAGTCCTCCGGTATACCTCTCCTATATATAACATTTGTTGACTTGCCGGGACTTAGGTCTCCGACATTAAAGATTTATAAGTAACAAGATTCTGATAAGCACGTTTATTTTCTTGTCAGCTCTATCAGTTTCTAATATCGAGAGAGTAAAGCCTACAACTCTTAGATATAATTTTTTTGGTGCTAGTTGTGAATTTTGTTTTCAGTGTATAATAGAATCAGACCAAATGATAGAACGGTGTCGGCCATTTCAAACTTTAATTATGTGGTTTCGTTGAAATGTGGATTTCATTTCTAAAAAGTATAACGTCTTGTAAAACGTATCAGTTCATTTACTTGGTTATG